CGGCCCCAGCCAGGCGCGCTGACGCTGCCCATGCCCAGGAAGGCGTGCATGAGCACCGCCATCCAGACCTCCCCCAGCCTCCAGAAGCCCTTTCCAGCCTCGCAGCCCCACAGCAAGAGCGTCTGCGACGTGGCCAGGGACGCGGTGCTGCCTGCTGCCACAGGGAGCACCTGGTGCCCAGGGGGGGCCGTGCCCACTGGCGCCAGCCGGGCTGTGCCCCCGCGGGTGCCCGGCAGCCTGCTCATGCACGACCGTGCCGCAGCCCTCGCCCAGCAGGCCGCAGTGTGCCGCGTGCCACCACCACCGCCCAGGGATCCCTGTCCCCCTTATCCGGGCACGGCCGGGTGCCCCGCTGCCCGCTGCACCTCCCCGGTGCAGAGCTGCAGCCCTGAGCCCTGCCCACCCCCCCCTGCCTGCGCCCGGCTCCGTGGGAAGCCCAGGAGTGGCCGTGGGGCCCCCCCGCGCCCAGCCTCCGTGCCCTGCGGTCAGTCCTGGCCACCCACCGAGCCACTGGGGCTTGGCCGGAGCGACTCAGAGCGGAGCCTGCCCTGCGGGCGCCCACCACCCCAGCCCTCACCGCACCGCCAGCAGACCGCCCCCGCCGCAGACACCCACGGCCTCCGCCAGCCAGCTCAGGGCAACCCCCCATGGGACCCCCCGCCACCCCAGCACCAGCTCTGCGGCACGCCCTGGGGGGGGCCCTGCTGCACCTCGCCAGCCCCCGTGCCGGGCTGGCATGGCTCTGCCACAGCCGCGCCGGAGAAGACACCAGCTGCACTCGGCCATCCGGACCCCCACGGCATCTGCAGCCAGCGACGCACCGCTGAGCCTGGGCATGGCCAGGCAGGACTGGAGGGGCCCGGGGAGCCGCTGCCCCCGGCCCCGCAGGGCCCCGGTGCGGGGACGCAGCCAGCCAGGCGGGCACCAGAGGTCCCCCAGCATGGGCAGCCCTGCCTCACCGCCGAGCAGTCGGAGACACTGCGCCACATCCAGGACCTTCTGCAGCTGGTGGTGGTGGCCAAGGGGCCAGTGGGACCACCAGCGGGGGACGAGGACGCCCGGACATCTCAGGGAGAGGGCCCCCGGGGGCCTGGGGAGCAGGGGGACCTGCAGTCCCAGCTGCAGTCCCTGGAAGGGGTGCTGGAGACCAGCCAACAGACCATCAGGGTGCTGCTGGATGTCATCCAGGACCTGGAGAAGAAGGAGGCCCAGCGGGACGGGTGAGCAGGCAGGGATGGAGGTGGGGGCGGGGGGGGCCGATGTCCCTGGTGGGGCTGTGGATGGAGGATAGGGGGGGCCCTGCCAGAGATTTGGGTGCTGCTGCCTCCCGAACGCGTTTCCCTCTGAGAAAATCAGAGTTGCTGTCCACGCACACGCGACACCGTGTCTTGGTGCGATGTCTCGCCCGCCCCAACTTGTTCTGCGTGTGCCCGCGGTGCCCTCCCCATGCCCAGGGAAGGGGTGCAGGGGGGTGCAGGCCAGGGGTCGAGGGGAGCTGGGTCCCCTGCGCGGCTCTGGTGCAGCTGACGTGCCCATCAGTCACTGCGAGTAGAGACCTGGGATGTCACATCCCGACTGCAGGCTCAGCTCAGCCATGGCCGATGCCCCAGGGACAACGTCCCTGCCATTCCCCAGGGACAGCCTCCCTGCCATGCCCTGGGGACAGCCGCCATTCCCCAGGGACAGCCTCCCTATTTCTCACGCCTGCTTTCAGCCCCATCCTTCGAGTTACCCAAGGCACAAATTCAGTGGCCGGAGCCTCAATGACTGACATGTCTGCGCCCCAGGGAGGTGCCCGTGCACCCCCATCCTGCCCTGCCCTGCCCAGGACCTGCTCCATGGGTGGTGGGGCAGGGCATCTCCTGGGCCAGTTTTCCTTGGCCTCCCAGCTAGATTTGCCGAACAGAACAAGGTGGTAGAGGTTAGTCTGTGACGGCCCAGAGCTGAGACCCTCCAAACTCATCTCACACAAGGGCCACCAACCTCCCCAGAGACGTGAGAAGCTGCTCGCCCCGTGCCGGTCCTGGCACACTCCTGTAAAACCCTCTGGGATGTATTCCCCACACCTTGAGACAGCAAGCTCCATCCAGGGCAGTGGAACGATCCGGTCATTACAGCTAACGAAGCCCGTGTTGGCCATAACTGAAGCGCAGGCAAAGCTGCCCTCGTGCCACCTCCCAGAGCAGCGCTGGTGGGAAGGGGTCGCCGGAGGGCTCTGGTCCAACGCCCACCAAAGGTGGGTGCAGCCCGGACAGGCTGCTCGGGACTTTGCCCAGCTGCGGTTTAGAGTCTGGGGGGATGGAGATCCCCCACCTCTCGAGCCCCTGTCCCCGTGTTTGACCACCCTCGGGGTGAAAATGTGCTCCCAACCTCTAGTGCTCGCGCAGCTTGTGCCCTCGGCTCCTCGCGGGGTAAGAAGTGGTGAAGAGAAAGCCAGGAACACCAAGCTCAGTGTGCCGTGGCGGTATTGGTGTGTCTAACTTGGCATGCGGTTTTGGGGAGGCAGCGTGGCACATGGGAGACCTGGACCTGCCAGATGGGCAGCTCCTGGTAGTCCTGGCCCTGGTGTCTTCGCACGTGTTTAATTGTTTTATCTAAAACAAATGACTGCTAAGTACCTCCTTCCAATTAGGGGCAATAGAGGCGGTGTGGATCCCACAGAGGCGTTAGCAAGAGCGTGCAAGCCCACGGGGGTGTTTAGGCAGGGTGTGCAGCACCATGCCCCCTCCCTGGCGCAGGATGCCCGGCTGCGGGTGCAGCCCGTGTGTGCCCGTCCTGGCCGGGAGCTGCCAGCAGCCCTGGGGCACCGGCTCCTGCGGGCCCTTCCCTGTGCCCTGAGCACCCGTTCCCCCGGCCGCACAGAAGCTGCCTGCCCCGGTTGGCTTTGTGTGTGCCTGGCTGCTCCAGCACGGGTGACCGCACCGGAGCGGGGGAGAGCATGCTCCGGGGCTTGGCCCTGCTTGCCCCAAAAGAGGAGCAGCACCAGCAGCTCAGCACATCCCGGCTCCTGGAGGAGCCCAGCACCCCGCCTGTGCTCTCCAGAGCAAAGCGCTGAAAAAGTGCCTCTTGTGACCGAGCACAGCAGTGCTGCTCCTGCCTCCGTGGACGGGGACCTGAGAGTGGTGCCGGGAGCTGGGCCGGGGCTGGGGTTCGCTCCTCCCATGATTGCTGCTGCGGGGCATCAGCGTGCAGCCCCCGGCACAGCCCTCCATGCCCCTCGCCGTGCAGCCCCCGGCACAGCCCGCTTGCCCATCACCGTACAGCCCCGGCACGGCCCGCTCTGCCCTTCGCTGGGCAGTGCCCGGCACGGCCCGCTTGCCCCTTGCCTGTCAGGGTTGCACCAGGGTCTGCTGCCCCAGGGGCCGTGCAGCCGCTCAGAGGAGAAAGGCCAGGGAGCGACCCCCCGCCTGCGGTGTTGCCCTCTGGGGTGCGCACAGACCCATGGCCGTGGCCGTGCCGAGCCTCGTCCCTGCGGGGTGCGGCGAGGGCGCGTGCAGAGCAGTGCCTGGTGAGAGGGCAGGTTTGCTCCCGCGGTCAGAATTGAGTTTGTCTGCTTGGGAAACTGATTTAGCTTCACTGCGGGCAGCTTAATTAAGATCTCGGCTCTGTATACTGTTGCAGTCAAATGAGCAAACAAGATGCCCGGAGACATAAGGAATGGGAGAGGAAATCACATAAAAAATTATCCTAGTGTCCTGATGCTGAGGAACGGCGTGGCCTCATTTGCCATGGCTCAGCGTCCTGCGGGCGCCCGCTGGCTCTGAGGCACCCGCCGTACACCAGAGCGGTGCCACCAGCCCTGATGCCGCTGACGGTGTAACGTGTCCTCGCAGGGTCCCGGCGTCGACCGCCAGCAACATCCCACACCAAACACCTGTCTCGGGATTAGAGCTCACCCTTGTTACCTTATATATATATATATATATAAAAAAAGGTATCATGATCTAATTTATGTGCTAAGAGTATAATCCCAATTGTAATATATAATTTGGTGCATTAAAAGACCTAGTTTTCGAGGGCTGAGAACAATCATGGTCAAGGTCGAGTAACAGGAGGAAGGTTGAAACAGGAAAACGTGACTGCTATGTGGGACGCGGGGGTGTTTTCTCAGCTGTCCCCCAAAAGCCGCAGCCTGCACTGCCTACGAGGGGCGGCGGCGATGTGGAGACGGAGTCCGCAAGAGTGACCAGAGTGACCAAAAGCATTTCATAGGGCCCTTTTCTTACAGCTCTGAGAGCAACCGGCGTTGGGGCACCAGCGGGGAGCCCCCGCCGGCAGTGCTGGGGGGCTGGGGGGCCGCGGGCAGCTCGCTGGGGGTCCGCGGACAGCTCCCCGGCACAGCCCCGGCACAGCCCCGGCACCCTGGGGGCTCGGGAGGGCTGCAAAGCCAAAGGCACGCAAGCGCCGTTCAGAGGAGCTGCAGGCTGCTAAGCAAGGAGAGGCGTCGGTGGGCCGTTTCCCCGGGGAGGCGGTGGCTCTCCTGCCGGCAGCCGAAGCCAGGGCCCGCAGTGGCACATGGAGGCTGCTGAGCTCAGGGGAGCATCGGGCTGGCTCTGTGGCCGGGCGAGAGGTTTGCTGCCGGTCCCTGGCGCCCCGCGGCTGCCCGGCCTCCGGG